CCCCCCCTTGAGGACCCAGCTCACTCAGGGGGCCCTGTGTGCTGCAGTAATGAGCTCCAGTCCCTCTGTACAAAGCTACAGAGCAGCTGCTGGATTCATTACACCCTTTATGTGAGCAGGGGTGGCCAAGGGGGTTCACATATTTGCACAAACAATAAGTACTGTCTTCCTTGTCTTGGCAAACAAGAGCTCCAGGAGGCCTCCACATCCTCCATCTCTTCAAGTGATGGCTGCTTTGTTTCCCTACGATAATTTCATTATTCTGTTTGAATACATTTATATGTTGCTAAGCCACACATAGCAACATGGATCTTGTCTCCATGGCCCAGCCTTTCTGTGATCAATATTGAGTAATTCTGCAACTCTCACCATACTGTGTTAAATAAGATTGGGTTTAAAATAATAAGAAGATTATGACACTCTTGAATTCAAAGCCAGTAAAGCACCTGATGTGGTGGGCACTCAGAGAAATGCAGACCCCCATGTGCTGACCCAGCAGGGCTGCCCTGTGGTGGGATCACATCTGCCATCTGTGCCATGGTCCTTCCTGATGGGCAGAGGCCCTTGATTCCCTGACAGAAGGAGGTGCAGCCCATGTGGTATCTGTGCTCTGGGCCATGGCAGTGCTGGTATTTTCCTTAAATCCCACTGAACCCTCATTTAGGCCTAACAACTGAGCAGGGGGAGGCAGCAGTTTCTGTGCACAGCCCCAGCTATATCCAGGGGGGCTGCTTTGGCTGCTGCCATCAGCATGGTGTTTCAGAGACCCCTGAAGGGGTGTGGGGCTGTGGGACAGCAGAGCACAGGCAGGCACCAGTGACAGGCAGGGCTGGTCCCACTCTGCTCTGTCCTACAACAGGCCTGGGGTGGGCTTTCTCCCACGTGCTGTGGGACCCTCAGGGTGTACCCGCTGCCCTGGCCCCCTTCCCTCCCCACCAGCACAGCTGAAATTGTCTCTCTTTTTCTTTAGGTTTCTGAGAGTTTCTGTGTGAGGGACCCACAACACCAAGGCTCTTCCAGCAGCTGGAGGATGGCAGGTTGGAGGAGCTTCCATGCAGAGGGAGGGCTGTCCCAGTCCCGGCAGAGCAGTTAGCTCTGTGCTTCTTCCTAGCAGCATGTGCAGACAAAACCAAGGCAGGACTGGGGCACCCTGAGGGCTCACAGGATGTCATGAAGACTGCCCTGTTCCTCTCCAGGGACAGGCAACCAACAGACAGGTACTCATCATGACTCCTGCCCAGCCTGGGTGCTGGCCCGGGGGTCCCTGCAGCTCCTGTAGGTGGGGCAGCGGCACCACCAGCTGAGCCTGGTGAGTGGGGGGCAGCTGGAGCCCTAAGGAAGACACCAACGGACTTTAGTAGCATCTTTAGGAAAAAAACCTTCACCCTGCTGCTCCCGGGGCTCCCACTGCTGCTGTTACATTTTCTCTCCCTCTGTCCTTGGCATCCAACTCGTCCTCCTGTTGCATCCCTAGTGTTTAGAGCTCAGAAAATGTGTTGGGGTTTTTGCAGATTCTTATGACAGTAAATGTTGAATTTAAAGGCAACCTTCTCTCCGTGTGTTGGTGGGATATCTCATGGCCAGGCATAGCTGTACAGGGCTGTGTGTGGGGAGGGGGTTTGGCCGTGGTGCAGGAACAGGGCACCGCATGCCGGGGGCTCTCGGCCGCAGGGACCACCAAGGCCTACATGAAAAATGTCTCAGCTAATTGCCCGTAAATGTTGTCGCTCATCAGCTCACTTGAAAAACACACTCAGAGTCGCTATGGCAATTCCCAGCAGCACTTTGAAGCAGATCCTGAGTCACTGATGCCTTGGATCACACCACAGCAGTGACCGTGGTGTCCCGGCCCTGCCACGGTGCTCCAGGCAAAGGCAGGTGTTGCTCCTGGAGAGACACTCGTGGGCACCTGGTGTGTGACAGGGCCAAGGGACACCAGGCAGGACATCCTGCCTGCCCGTAGACACCCAGGAGGAGGGGGTGGCACCAACAAGGAGGGTGGGGTAGATAGTTAAAAAGGACAAAGCCTGCCTTTTTAAATGAACTGCAAAATTTATTACAATGGTTTGCTTCTGACAAGGAAGTTGGTAACCTCCTGCCTGGAAAGGAAGGGTGGGGAGTGGCAAAGGGGAGGGATGAGAGGGAGAAAAGGATATGAGAGACAGAGAGGGAGAGACACTTAAGGACACTTTTCATTTTCTGAAAATAAAACATCTTTTACCTCCCAAACCATTTTCTCCAGTTCTTTAAGTTCACAAAAGGAAGGTGAAACCAAACCACAGACTTCAGGAGAAAAATGCACAAACATGTTGAAAAGCAGAGACAAACATGCTCTTCTGCATCTAACAATCTTCCATAATCCACAGCTCCTCAAGGCACCAGCTGTGCCAGCCCCTCCAAGCCAGGGGCAAACACCCACCGTGGAAAACAAACCTGAACCAACTCTGGCCCTGCTGGAGGAGCCGCAGTGGATCTGGGGGCGACTAGTGGGAGGAGAGGAGAGCATGGCTGAGACCGAGAGAGAGCAGCAGCACCAGTCCAGCACATCCCAGCTCAGGGGGCTGCAGCCCCCCTAGTGCTGCCCAGCCATGTCTGTGAACCCCTGTCCCACAGTGGGAGAGGAACTGACAGCTCTTTTCTTGTGGCTCCAACACAGCACAATTCTTATTACTCCTTACTCGTGTGCTTAGGCAGGTAAATGCAGGAGGGGGCTGCAAAACTTCCCAGCTCCCCTGAGCCCATGCTGGTGTGGGAGCAGCTCTGGGCTTTGCCGCCTGGACCTGCTGCTCCCCACACTTTCCTCCTGCCTGGCCAGCATCACCTGCTGGGGGAAGGGGACAGGGTCTGTCCCTGCCCCATTCTACCCCTTGGCTCTTCTCCAGGCACTGCCTGGACTTGGCTGATGGCTGGAGGGAGGCAGGACCTTTGCTGCCTGGGGTCATCATCCTGGGGCCACCTTGTCCTCATGCTTCAGAAACCAGCTGAGTTCATGGTGCCAGTGCTGCCTGGCACTGTGACCTGCAGAACTTTCCAGCCACAGGGATATTGTGCTGGCAATGTGAGCACAGCAGCAGGGCATAAAGGACAGTCCCCTCCTCCTGCTACTGAATTTCTTAGAGCTTCCACAGCAAAGCTTTGACATTCCAGAGATGACTGCAGACACCTGTGGGCTCTGGGCACTGTGGCTGCCATAGGCTGCAAAGACATGGCTGGGATCTCCAGCACCAGCAGATGCAGAGAAACCAAATCTCAGCTTCTGGCTCAGTTCTGCCTGTCCCCGTCCCCTTCCCCACCTGTCATTGCTTGGCCAGGGCAGTGATGGGACATAGAGCAGGCGCTGTGGGAAGCAGGGAGTGAGGACCCTGGCACACACACCTTGGGGTGTCAGCACAGCTGTGGCGGCTGATACCTTCAGCTCTGGCATTCTCCTTGGCTTCTGCAGAAACCCTCTGTCTCCATGCTGGTGCCTGGGGACACTCCCACCACCACAAAACCCCAACCTGGGGGGGTTCATCTCACCTCTCCCCTGCCCTCTGCACGAGGGGTCCTGAGATACAGGGCAGGGTTGGGGGAGGGAGGGCAGAGGTGCAGAAACAGCTGGTAGGGGCAGCAGGAGAGGAGCATGAATAGGACAGAAGCCAAGACAGGCTTTACCTTTCCTTGGCACCTCAGAGCCAGGCCAGGCAGAGACAGGTCAAGCACCGAGTGTGCAGAGGAGCCGAGGGGCAGCCGAGCCCACAGCCTCACAGCCCTCAACTGTCCTTACTGCATATTAAAATAAACCATCTGGGACTTTTCCAATAGTACAGGTTAAATAGCATCACTGAGAAAGGTGGGGTGGAGAGGTGGCACGGCCCCCCAGCCCCGGGCAGGCATCCTGTGCCGCTGGCAGCGCGGGGGCTGCGCCGGGTCCCTGCTGGTCACCGCACTTACGTCCGCTTGGCGTGCAGCATCTCGATGAGGAGGTTGTTGCAGGGCACCTCCCCGCTCAGGTGCTTGTGGTACAGGTACTCCTCGGCCTGCATGCTCAGCGCCCGGACCTCCGCCAGCCGCAGCAGCAGCTGCCGAAACTTGTCGGCAGAGTGGGGGTAGTGGCAGAGCGTGTACTCCAGCAGGGCCGCGTTGGCCTTCTCCTGAGCGTCCTTAGCCAGCGTGTGGTTCTCCAGGTACTTCACGTCTGCAAGGGGAGGGACAGGATGGTGAAATGGTGCCAACCAAACCCACATGTCTGCCCCGTCCATACCGTTTTGTGCCAGGAGGAACCGTTGCTCCCGCTCAACACCCATCGTGCACAAGAACACAGCACAGAACAGGTCCTGCACCCCATCCCTGCCTGGCCACAGCCTCCCCAGCCCTATCCCAAGGCCTCCCCCAGTGCTGAACATGGATGTCCAAACCCCACTGGCAGCAGGAGGGCCCATGACCCCTCTACTCTCACCACCCAGAAATGTGCAAAGCTGAAACTTGTTACCAGCTGTGCCCACAGGCAGGGAGCTGCTGCCGTCAGCCCTGCTCAATTCCTGAAGGTCGAGGAAGTGGCTGAATTAATTCCCTGATAAACCTCATCTTTCCAATGTGGCAACAGGGCTCACCAGCCTGGAAACCCAAATCCCCCGTCTCGCCAGGGCCGCAGCAGCTCCCCCGCAATCCGGCTGCCCCGGTGCCCACCCCCTGCAGGCACTGACGTGCGGGCAAATCCAGGTCTGCTTTGGCAGCCTGGGCTGGGAACAGGGAAACCTGGGCACAGACCTGGCCAGGGCAATCAGGTGTTCAGGCCTTTCTGGCTTTCATCCCAAAAAAGAAGGAAAACAAACATGGCTTAGACGCAGAGGGGTCCCTGCTGAAGCCGAAGGGCTGAGCAGCAAAACGCGATGCAGGTGCTGGAGGGGGCTGAGCAGGAGGGAGTGGATGGGATCCCGGGATGTCCACAGCTCCCAGTGCTGCTCCAGCCCAGCAAAGCTGGGAGCCCCCAGCCCGTGCTCAGGCGGAGCCCAGGGAGCAGCAGAGCAGCCAGGGGGTCTGCAGGACTGCTGGGGAGCAGAGGCACAGGTGGGGGTGCTGCAGGACCCCCAGGGAGCCACAGCCTCTGGCCATGCCCACGGCAGCAGTGCCAAGCTGCACTTTATCAGATCACCCTTTTCTTTTCACTCCTGAGGCACACTTGCTCCTGCTGTGGCCATCTCCCTTCTCCCTGGGTTGTTGTTATGAAATCTCTTTATCTGCATAAGGTTATTGTCCATGTCATTAAAAAAAAAAAAAAAAAAAAAAAAAGTTATATTGATAAATGTCAAATCTATCCCCTGAGTTGGCTCAACAATAGCTAGTTCTACTCGATGAACTCACCTGGTTCTCTGAAAGACCCTATTCACTGTTTAATTGAATATTTGAATAATGTTTTCATTCCTGCAAGGAATAAAGAGTGTTGTCCAAATAACATTGACTCACTTCATTTAGAGACACTGCAGCAGTTGCAAAGACTGTCCTGTGACAAAGCCTCCCATCACACATACAGATATGCCTGGGATTATTTCTATGCCCTCAAGTGTTCTTCCTATTCACAGCTCCTTTTGTTTGGGAGAAGCTGCTGATAAATTGCAAACGCTTAAGGGAATGTGGGCTATAAAAGCCTCTCTTCCTCCCCTCCCCAAGAGTAGCTGCTTCATGAATGTAAGTCATGAAATCGAATGATAGGTCAATCCATTAAGGCTCTATTAAGCCCTTCTGTAGAACAAAGCTAACCTGTGCCGTCCTCATAAATATTGCTATTTTGAGAAGCCCTAATTTTAATTAAATCTCTTTACCTGCTCAGGAGAGAAATCTATTTAGAACTCAAATGGCAGCTCTTGTGAGCGGGGCTTGGCTTTGATTGTGCTGTGGCAGAGTGGTAAATGTGGAAATTCTCTTGTTAAAGGCAATTACATCCTGCACATAATACACAATCCCATCCTCTACAGCTGAGCCTGCGAAGGGCAAATTAC